ATGGGGGGAAGTGCAGTTAAGCCTCAGCGCCACCTCAGATCACCAGGCATTAGATTCTCATAAGGAGTGTGCAACTTAGATCCCTTGCACGCGCATTTCACAATAGTGTTCACGCGCCTATGAAGATCTAATGCTGCTGCTCATCTGACAGCAGACGCTGCTTTCGGTCCCTCACCTCCTGCTGTGTGGCCTGGTTCCTAACAGGCTACAGACCAGTACCAGTCTGCAGCACAGTAGTTGAGGACCCCTGTTCTACAGAGATCAGCTATGTGTCATCTTGTACATTCCTTTTATAAGAATTTGTTAACTTTTTGTCCTTGAAGTTACTCTTCCATTGATTTACACCAAGCAGTACTTATGTAGCAATGATGTCCCTTCTCCAGCAGGGTTCTCTCTTTGTTTTCCCTTTAAGTGGTGTCTATACTTTCCACATCTCTGTATTTCCACCTTCACTGGTATTTGTAGTGACTCAAAACTTGGTGTTGGTTACAGGGAAAGCAAATATTTTCATTGTTAAAATGAAACCACGTAGTAGAGCTTTTTGAACACTGTTTTTCACTATTTCTTTGAGTTCTTATTTACTTATTTTATCCTCAGAGTCTATTTTCTTTTTGCTAATCTTGCTCATATTAAGTTACTTCTAGTTATTTGGTAGGTAGTTCCAACATGTCATTTTCTAGACTATATCTTATGTGTTATGCAAAGGTATAGCCATAGGATAAACATTTGCTAGTTGGATTGGAAGTATGATTCTTTTGTGCTTTACTTTCTAGGAGGTAAGACTGTCTTCTAGACTTAGAGAACTTTGCGTGATTGCTCTTATGTTTTCTTTCTTACTGCCTGCTTGAGTTGATTGGTCTGAGTTGTTTTTCTTTCTGATCATTCTTATCTGCTTTTTGCATACTTATATAATTGGTTTTCTCTCATAATCCTCCCTTAAGTTCTATATCTTTTGTAGAACTGATGCTTAATTTTACTTTGGGTCTACTCTAGAATATCAATGTTCTTAGCTTTAGTTAGAAACAAAGATACTTCTATGAAGCAGCCTTGGCCTCTAGCTTGGTTCACAGACCCTCCTTCACCTCTCCCCGTATTTTGTTTTTAATACTACCCATTACTTTACTCTCCACAACCAGTGCTCTAGAAAAGCATAGCCAGGACTCAGATGTTTTCCCTTTATTTTCTAAAGACAATGCTTTGAAAATTCTGCTTACACAGTTCTTATCCTCCTTCATAGTCACTTTCTCTCTCTAAGGTAGTAATAATATTTATAAAGTGTTTATTATGGACTACGTGTTAGCTACTAACTCAGTTAATTATGACAGCAGGTCTGTGAAACTGGTATTATTATTAATCCCGTTTTATAGATGAGGAAACGGAAGACTTTAAGTAACTTGCCCAAGGTCACAGAATTATTAACTATGAGAGTAAGCAAAATGCCCATGGCATCACTGTTTGTCGTAGTCCTAAACTGGAAGCTCAGTTGTCCATCAGCAGTAGAATGGCAGAGTACACTTTAGAATATTCACACAGTGGAATAGTACAGCAGTGAAAATGAACTCTTACTGTTTATACACCAACATATCAAATGCAGTGTGGAATGGAGAAGCCAGACCCCAGGGACCATATGACTCTGTAGAATAATGACAAAGCATATAACCTAAGTCTGTGATGGCAGAGGTCAGGGTAGAGGCCACCTTTGGGGGCTGGGGAACAGTGACCAGTGGGGAGAAGAGATGTTTTTAGATTGTAGTAATATCTGGTCTCTTGATCTGGGCTATGGTTATGTTGTGAGAATTTATTGGGTTAGATGCTATGTTATTTTTGTCAATTCAGAAAGGGTTCTGATCTCTGCAAGTTCAAATATCTGGTCTCTTGATCTGGGCCATGGTTACGCTGTGAGAATTTATTGAGTTGGATGCTTTAAAAAAGTGTACTTCAGTCACCTTTTTTTTTCTTAAGAAGAGGATATTTTAAAGTGGAAGAATTACCCAGTATGGGAAGTTAGGGAAGATTTCTTTGGGAAATTGCAACATACTCAGTTGAAATCTGAAGGATGGCTAGGAAGAAACTGATTTGGCAGAAGGTAGGGGATAGTGTTCCAAGCAGAAGTGACCTGACTTTGAGACTGGAGGAGTTAGAGGACCCATGAAGAACTAAAAGAAGGCCGAAGAAGACTGAAAGACAGAAACACAAGGAGTGTGTGTGTGTGTGTGTGTGTGTGTGTGTGTGTGTGTGTGTGTAGTGGACAGGCTGTTGTTGTGCTGGAGGCAGGAAGGATAGCTAGCTTGGGCTGTGGCCAGGGTTGGATGTTCCTCTTAAGGGATCACTGCAGTGTGGTGAGCAGGCAGACTCACTAGAGGACAGTCACTGTAGTCCCGGGGACTAAGATGGAAATGGTGGTTGAGATGAGATGGTTTCTAGTGCTAGGTTAGAGGTGGCATAGATCCTGCTAGACCATTTAGGTGAAAAGTGACCCTAGATTCCTGCCATATGCACACAGAGGGCCACCTGCACCTGAGGGGCAGGTGAGCATGTGTTCCATCTATGGAACAGGCTATGATTTAAGTGTTGTCTGAGGACATTGAGAGATAATCCACATGCATAGTCAGTCGCTGTGCTGGGTGATTAATAGAATGGTACTAGTCTTCTACTCTTGCCAGAGAGCCTTTGGATCAATGTAGCATACAGATATAGTCAATTACTAGAAAGTACAAACCCTTTCATTCCTGTACAACTTCAGAACTTAGCTGCATACTCTACTGATAAGCACCTTTGTAAAACTGTCCATGAAATGGAGTCTTCAGTAGAATAGCCTTGGTTTGAAATTGTCATGCTAAAGGAAAACATGTTTACATAGATCCTTTCTAGAAGTAACCTTGCTCTCCCTTCATTTCACCCTCCTTTTATTTTTCTGATAGGCCAGAAGAATGTTTGAAGGTGAGATGGCAAGTTTAGCTGCCATCTTGAAAACAAACACAGTGAAAGTGCCCAAGCCCATCAAGGTTCTTGATGCCCCAGGAGGTGGTAGTATGCTAGTGATGGAGCATTTGGACATGCGGTATCTGAGCAGGTAGGTCTTGACACCATCCCTTCTGGTTGACTTTATTTTTCCACTGAGTGGTTCTTTTTTTTGAGTTGGAGTCTCACTCTGTCACCCAGACTGGAGTGCAGTGGCCGCTCCTGGCCACCACAGCCTCGACCTGCTGGGCTCTGGCGATCCTTCCGCCTCAGCCTTCCAAGTAGCTGGAACTACAGGCGTGTGCTACCACACCCGGCTAATTTTTTATTTATTGTAGAGATGAGGTCTCGCCAAGTTGCCCAGGCGGGTCTCGAACCTGCGGGCTCAGGCATTCCACTCACCTCAGCCTCCCAAAGGCGTGGGATTACAGGCTGAGCCACCGAGCCCGGCGAGTGGTTCTTTTATAACCGAAGCTTTTAAAACTGGGGACCTAATTTTGAGGTGTGTGACATAAAGGACCCATGACGCCATGCCTCATGAGTTCTGCAGAATGAGTAGCATGTGCTCTCTGCAAGCCAAAGGCAAAAGAGAGGAATCTCCCAAAGTGAGATGCTGGTGAGGGACTCAGCTGCAAACTCAGGTGAAGCCAGAAGACCATCCAATGATCAGGACTCTTCATCTTCCTCTTGCTTCACCAGAACACAACTTTCTGTCCTCAAAATATTTGACCTACTGTATGTGCCCCGAGACCTTTCAGATAATTGTATATCTGGTGCTTGTGTGTCATCTGTTTAGTTACTGCCTTTTGGTTTCACAGTCATGCTGCAAAGCTTGGATCCCAGCTAGCAGACTTACACCTTGACAACAAGAAGCTTGGAGAGAGACACCTGAAGGAGGCTGGCATAGTGGGTATGGTGTTGTGTGGGTCAAGGGGGACCCTGTCTAGAGGAGGACATTCAGCCTTGATGGGTATAAAAGTGGAGTTATGCTGCAGTCCTGTAGGGTCAGAAGTGTACTAATGTTAAAGCAAAGGAACGTCAACCCTGAGGCTGCATGTTTGCAGTGCAGTGAACACAGTGAATGTGATTAGTGTGATGTACCGGAAATGCATTTGAAAGACAGAAAATATTTGCCAGACTTGAAACCCCATAGTATTATGGTTGCTTTTGCCTCTCGTTCCCCAGAAGAGTCTAATCAGAGTTTCTCTGGCTTTCCATAAAAATCAAGACCTTTAGCACTGTGTCTTTTCTTCTAAAAACAATTATACTCGAGGCTCAGAATCACAGCCCTCACTTTTGACCTTTCTAGAGCTTAGTGTGATGTTAACATTGAGGGACTTTTCCAGTATTTCCAGGGAATTTTCCAGTATATCAGCAGATTTAATCTGCTGATAATCTGCGTGTAGCCCATGTGGTAAATGCGAGGTGGATTAGCTGACAATCACAAAACAGATAACCAAGAATCTGCACACAGATATTGTAGACAGATCCCATCAGACTGCCTGTGCTGTGAGATCTACAGACAGATCCTATCAGACTGCCTGTCCTGTGAGAATCTACTGACAGATTCCATTTAGATCCTTTCTTGTAAGAAACTATTGACAGCTTCCTTCAGACTGACTGTGTTATGAGACTATTGACAAGTTCTCTCAGACAACCTGTCCTGTGAGAATCCACTGACAGTTTCCCTCAGACTGCCTGTCCTGTGAGAATCTACTGACAGGTCCCCTCAGACTACCCATCCTATGAGAATCTACTGAGCAAGTCCCCTTAGACTACCTGTTCTTGATTACCTAATGACAGTTATCATCTGACTACCTGTCCTGTGATACTCTTCTGACAGGTTCCTTTAGGCTGCCTGTTCTGTGAGAATCTGCTGACAGATCCCATCAGACTCCCTGTGCTGTAAGAATCTACTGACAGATCCCCTCAGACTGCCTGCCCTATCCCTTCAAAGCTCATGAAGTTTAGTCCACTAGGATTTTCTTTGAATTGGGGAAACTGCAAAGAACTGAGACCATCTCAGAGCACAGTAGTTTATCTGTCACGATGGCACTAAGTATGGCACTGAAAACCATCCTTTCCGGCAGGTTAAGGGTGGTTTGGTTTTTTTTGACCCCCTCCCCCCCCCCCCCCCGGCCTCTCTTCAGTTGCCACTTCTGGGAGTTGATCATTAAGTCATCTGGAACAGGCCTTGTTCTGGGTGTTACATGGATTAGTGGAGACTCAGGTCCTTGTTTGTCTCTGGTGAGGACACAAGGTGGTAGAGGATCATTGAGGTCAGGAGTAAGGGTGACTCTTTACAAGTTCTGAGAATGGGAACTGGGGTATCATGGAGCCAGGGAACTAACTGGTTGTCTTTCTTTTTTTTTTTCTTTTGCTTGCAAGGGAAAGGAGGTGGGCAGGCAGAACGCCCCTTTGTGGACCAGTTTGGGTTTGACGTGGTGACGTGCTGTGGATACCTTCCCCAGGTAAGTGACATAGCACTTGCTTCCATTTCACAATCAGGTCAGCTGTTCAGACACAGTGGGGCAAAGCACACCCTCTTTCTTTTTCTGTGAGATTTAGTAAAATTATTTGCACTCTTTGTTCTTTGCTAATTTTTAAGAGGTTGACATGCATTTTCCCCACTTTATTTACTAGGTAGGCATGGGGAAGCAGAGAAGGACCAGCAAGTCAGGATTTCAAGGTGGATAAAATTTAGAACGTTCTAAAAACATTTATTTTAAATACACTAAACTCTTTTTTTTTTTGAGTTGGAGTCTCACTCTGTCGCCCAGACTGGAGTGCAGTGGCCGCTCCCGACCACCGCAGCCTCGGCCTGCTGGGTTCCAGTGATCCTTCCGCCTCAGCCTTCCAAGAAGCTGGAACTACAGGCGCATGCTACCACGCCCGGCTAATTTTTATTTTATTTTATTGTAGAGATGAGGTCTCGCCAAGTTGCCCAGGTGGGTCTTGAACCCGTGGGCTCAGGCAATCCACTCACCTTGGCTTCCCAAAGTGCGGGATTACAGGCTGAGCCACCGAGCCCGGCCCACTAAACTCTTAAAGGTAGCATAATGACCAAGTTGTGTATCTTTTAGTTTTATGATTTTATGGTTGGCTCCCTTCAGAATTTCAGCCTGGGGGCATCTGCCTCATGCCTAGCAAATATAGAGTGGATAGGGCAGCAGCTCTGCTCTCAGAGGAAAGCAGCATGGCTCCTTGGGAAGGGTATACTGGCCAATCTGGAATACTTTCAGGGGTTTCCTGGTGGGCATGGGGGCAATGGACACAGATTTTGAAATGTTGTAGGAGATTGTCCAGAAACCTGTCCAGGGTTGTTTCAGGCAGCTCCGCCCCTCTCTCTCCTGACTGTACTCGCTGCTCACATGTTCATGTGTATGTGTATGTGCATGGATGTATAGGTACAACGTGTGCACATGTATGTGCATGCGCATGTGTATGTATCACTGTGCATGTGTGCATATATCTGATACTCTATTGCTTGTCGTCATGTACTGTTCTATGTGCTACTCTACTCTTGTGTATCTGTCTCACCTCCCTTTTGGATGATACACATATGTGCTCTGGACATCTCTCATAGTGATCTTTTTGAATGGGGCTCCACATGACTTCTCACATTATTACTCTCTGGAGAGGGGTTGTCCATGGCTGGACAGGAGTCAGAAGTGAACCACGAGGTCAGGGAAGGTTAGTCAGCTCTGGCCTCTATGTTCCAATGTGAGTATAAATTAAAAGAAACTGTTAGCAGCCATGTTGCCTTATAGAAAAATTAAACAAAAAAATTGTCCTAGAACTTTATTCTTGGAAGGCTGTAGAGTGGATCCTTCCTTCCCACTGCCCTTGGGATAGGATCTAAGGTCTTAGCATGTCCATGAGACTCCATCCTGCCTGGTCATCTCTCAGCCTCTTATGACTGCCATGGCTTCCACATGCTGTTCCAGCAGCCCTTTCTGCTTTGGAATATTCTGGCATTCGAGTCCTCCTTCACTCCTGGCATTTTCCAATGAACTCTACCTTCTCCTTTGCCGTTACCTGTGCAGGTGAACGACTGGCTGAAGGACTGGGTCATATTCTATGCCCGGCAGCGCATTCAGCCCCAGATGGACATGATAGAGAAGGAGTCTGGAGACCGGGAGGCCCTTGAGCTTTGGTCTGCTCTACAGGTGAGCAGAGCCCCACTACATACCCAGCACCTGCAACACACCCCACTCACCTGATGTGGGGGAGGTGCCAAGGCAGGTGATCACCTCCATGTCTGATTCTGGACAGAAGTGGGTACCTAGTGGTATTCTATCTACCCCTGCCTGACAAGCCATGCCTGAGCTCAGTGCTGCTACTCAGATATGTGGAGCAGCCCTTAGGAAAACATCTGCATCCCTCATTCATGCTTGATCACTTTTCTGAGGCTTCATTTTCCTTCCTGCAGTTAAAGATCCCTGACCTGTTCCGTGATCTGGAGATTGTCCCAGCTTTACTCCATGGAGACCTCTGGGGAGGAAATGTAGCAGAGGATTCCTCTGGGCCTATCATTTTTGATCCGGCTTCTTTCTATGGCCACTCGGAATATGAACTGGGAATAGCTGGCATGTTTGGGGGCTTTAGTAGCTCCTTTTACTCTGCCTACCACAGCAAAATCCCCAAGGCCCCAGGATTTGAGAAGCGCCTAAAGTTGTACCAGCTCTTTCACTACTTGAACCACTGGAATCATTTTGGATCAGGGTATAGAGGATCCTCCCTGAACATCATGAGGAATCTCGTCAAGTGAACTTGATTTCCTCTGGAGGGAGGCCCCTCTGAGGAAGGTGCTGAGGCCTCAAGGTTAGGGTACATTAGATTCCAGCCAGAGCTGTGGTCGAGTTTCCCTTGTTTTCTCCATAGTCCTCTTTATGGTCAATTCTTCCCCAGTTTTTCTCATGGCTGGAGTAGCTATAGATCAACTCAGTAGCTCATTTCCAAGCCTTCTAAGGTACCTAGTTCCTCAGAGGAAAAGTTTTGTCTTCCTAAAGTTATATACTCTGTTAGACTTTATGACCAGATAGAGCCATACTAGAGATATGGTGTGAACAGAGAGACCTATGATACATGGGTGACTTTGAGCCACATTGCTTCTCCAAAGGTAGAGAAACCAGAAGTGATCTCATGCACATGGGGGAGGGTGTCTAGTGTGCAGGGAAGTGGCCAGTGTGCCTGGGTACTATTGTTTGAAGGACACCTTTCCATCTCCCCCTTCTTGCTCTTGTGTGTCAGAGAATCTCTGAGTTGTGCGTGATGGTGCTTCTTGGTGGGTAAGACTTGAAATCATCTTGCTAGAAGCTCCTTACAATGACCAATTCCAAAACCGAGCACATTCCCTTTTCTTCCTGCATTATCTCTGGGCCTGGCCACAGGCTAAGCAGGTCTGAAAGCTGATTCTGGGAGTGACCAAGCGGCTGACCTTAGGGTATCTTTGGGTAAATTGAGGAGCCTTGAATTACTCCTGTTATTACTTCATCTTGTGTGCCGTTTTCTAAAGCTTGCTGAGTTGTCATTTCTTTGCAACATATGAAAGAAACACTGAACTAATATTTTTCCTTCCTTTAGTATGGTAGTGATAAGAAATATTTTGTGAATGCCATTGATGCTAATAAATCTTGTTGTGTAAAAGTTTGAATAAACTTTCAGTGGTTTCAATCATGCATGAGACTATATTTCCCTCATTTATTATAATTCAATGTTTATCTTAGTTTTTTGCCAAGAAACTTTAATAATATATTGTTACCAAAAAAGGTACGACTGTTGTTTCTTAAAGGAGCAGTTCAAAAAGAAAAAAAATTTTTTTTGTAGAGGTGATATCTCACTGTGGTACCCAAGCTGGTCTTGAACTCCTGGCCTCAAGTGATCCTCCTGCCTGTGCCTCCCAAAGTGCTAAGATTACAGGTTTGAGTCACCACATCCAGCCCCAAAGAGGAATTTTTGTCTTTTTTTTGTTGTTGTTCAAACAAAAAAATAGCACAGAGCTTCAAAATAACAGCAGGGGTAGCCTAAGAACTCTTTATAATATTTGACTAGAGGTACAGTTTAACTGCTATTTTTGTTCACTCTGTGAGGTTTGGAAAACATTAAAGAGAGAATGAAAGTAACTATAGAATTATATTTGGGGGGAAAAGCCACTTGGTGACCAAATTAGGTATGGTTCAGGGCTTAGGAAACACCTGTGTTTGAAGAACAGCCAGTGATGTCATTGAATTGGACTAAAGAGGCTGGATTGATGTTTTCTCTTGTTTGCTTATTGTTTCTATGTTGTAGGTCAGGGACCCTCAGCAGAATTCAGAAGCAGAACTGAATTCCTTTCAAGTTCTAGTTTTTGTGGCGAGAGAGAGAACCATGACTTGTGGTTGCCAGAGTTTCAAATCTAGCAATTCCTGGATTACCATTTGCTAAGTGTTTACTCTGACTCTGGAGAAACTAATTACTATTTATAAGGAAAGTGATACCACGAAGCAGCATTATTACGATGGCATCTACTGCTTTACTTCTCACCTGGGTAGATCTTTATGAGTTACACACACTTGATTTCCAGGAGGGTTGGTTTGACTGCTGCCAGACCTGAGGTCTTCTGCAGACAGAATTATTCTACAACTGAACCCATTTAGGAAGCACAGGAAGGGGTTTTTCTTCTCCCCTGTGGTTAATCAAGTAGGGGCAGAACAGTTATCAGGTAAAGAAACAATGGATAGAACATGTACTGGTTCAGACGTCAAGGATCTTAAGAGAGTCTCCGTTTCATATTCCTGTATTTCACATAAACCAGTATTTGGGAACCATGAGTCAAGGTGGGGCAAACAGCCTTCAGCTTCCATTGCTGCTGGGTTTGGAGAGTATGAGGCAGCCTCTCTGGGCTGTTGGTCACTGGAGGAGCTAATAGGACACTGGACTGCCTAACAAGGAGGATGGCCTGGATGCCTTCTCCCAACAGAATCTGTGTGGGCTATGCCAGCCACAGGGATGGCTGATCCTGCCTTGTGATGGCCCCTGGATTCTGCTTGATGCTTGGTGTTGTGCATATTCCATGTCAGGACAAGAGCATATGTAAGGAGGACTGGGACTTAAGTTTCTCTAGACAGTTGATAGGAAGGACGTTTTAGTCCTCCAGAGGTGATGGGATTCTGCTCCTTTTTTTTTTTTTTTTTTTTTTGAGTTGGTGTCTTACTCTGTCACCCCAGCTGGAGTGCAGTGGCACACTCCTGGCCACCCAGCGTCGACCCGCTGGGTTCAGGCAATCCTTCCACCTCAGCCTTCCAAGTATCCAGAACTACAGGTACCACACACAGCTAATTTTTGATTTATTGTAGAGATGAAGTCTCATCAAATTGCTTGGGCTGGTCTTGATTTCACCATGGGGCTCAGGCAATCCACTTACCTCAGCCTCCCAAAATGCTGGGATTATAGGCTGAGCCACCGTTTTGTTTCTTTTTTTAATTAAAATTATTTTTATTTTTGAGTCAGGAGGTCTCATTCTGTCACCTACGCTGGAGTACAGTGGCATGATCACAGCTCACCACAGCCTTGACCTTCTAGGCTCAGGTGATTCTTCTACCTCAGCGTCCTGAGTGGCTGGGACTACTGGTGAATGCCAAAATGCCCAGCTAATTTTTGGATTTTTTGGCAGAGATGAGATCTTGCTATGCTGCCCAGGCTGGTCTTGAACTCTTGAGCTCAAGCAATTCTCTCACCTCAGCCTCCCAAAATGCTGGGATTACAGGTGTGAACCACTGTGCCTGGCTTTGACAGCCTTCTTCTTTTTTTTTTTTTGAGTTGGAGTCTCACTCTTTCGCCCAGACTGGAGTGCAGTGGCCGCTCCCGGCCACTGCAGCCTGGACCCGCTGGGCTCCAGCAATCCTTCCGCCTCAGCCTTCCAAGTAGCTGGAACTACAGGCATGCGCTACCACGCCCGGCTAATTTTTGATTTATTGTAGAGATGAGGTCTTGCCAGGTTGCCCAGGCGGGTCTCGAATCCGTGGGCTCAGGCAATCCACTCACCTCAGCCTTCCAAAGGCACGGGATTACAGGCTGAGCCACTGAGCCCGGCTAATGCCTTCTTCTAGACATTTTTGCAGTGCTGTATCTTGTGAGAGGCCATTCGGGAAGGCACAGCCCAAATAGAAATGGGGTGAAAGTGTCACAGAGGTGTGGCGGCCACTTAGCATATCTACTTTTGTACCTAATTCCGTATTCATTATTAAAATATACATATTTTATATATGTAATGTATGTATATATATTTAATTAATTTTTTGAGTTGGGTCTTACTCTGTTACCCAGGCTAGAGTGCAGTGGCAAAATATATATATGTTTTTATGAGGGATTGCCAAGATCATAGGCTTCAGTCCTAAGGCCCCTGGATCTATTCAAGTTATTTTTGTGGATTATTCTGTTCCAAGAAAAAGACAATACACAAATCATCTGAGGATGAGCTTTCCCATGATGAAGCTAATGCTGTTTTCTGGGGTGGCTGAGCTGTAAGAGATGGATGTGGGTGTAGATTTTGAATTGAAAGCATTGTTTCAAGGGACAGCTGTGAGCTGTGTCCTCTCAGAGTGGCGTGTTAACATCTGAAATAAGGAAATATTGGGCTCTGGATATGGCCCCGAGACTCCTTGGTAAGGGAACAGCTGGAAGAGATTTGTTCCATTCAGGGCAGCCAGGAGCATCACTAGGAGGCCTTGGGCAGAAAGTCCAGAAAACTGGCCATTGCCCTGAGCTCCCAGCTAGGTCCCTCAGTTTTCATCTCTGGGATTGCAAGGGCAGGGCAGCTTTGTTATTTCTTACTGGAAATGGGAGTACTATATCAAAACATTTCATTACCTAACTGTCAGGATATCAATCTTTCTAGAAGTGAGTCTTCAGATAACCAAGGTTGAGCCTTCTACCCCAAAGTATTTGATTCTGCATCCTTTTAATGTCAGTGTACCCAAGACATGCTTTTCTACGTTCTTAAATAGAAAATCCTGCTTTTATGGCTCATTCCTTTTTCCAAGAATGGTACCATCATTCTTTTTCCTGCACTGCCCAAATGCAGGAAAGCCTGGCATGGGGGCACAGAGCCTGGCATGGGGGGCTGGTCAGGCCCCTGGGGATGCACATGCAAGGTGATCTTGCCACGCCCACAGGGGAGAGGAGTGGATGGGGTAGAGGCTGGAGGAGGACCTCAAGTTGGAAGAATCATGGAGGGCTTGACAAAGGGACATGACAAAGTTGTGGGCAGTATGTGAAGAAACCCCAGGAACAGAGCAGTGCCTAGCCGGAGGGTCTGTTACCACTCAGGTCTGAAGTGTGGTCTTGATGGAGGACAGAGCTCAAGGTGACCTTGCTGGCAGGAAGTTAGGGAACAAATACCCGAAGCTTATCTTCTCTGTTTTCCATCTCCTTTTGGGCTCCCCTTGGCCAAACCCAAGCAGAAGGCTACCTTCTTAACAGAGTGGTTCAGGTAGTCCCAAGGCAGAAAGGAGTGGACGAGGTATAGGTGGAAGGAGCAGCAGCAGAAACTGGGCTGAAATTTGTTGACCAAGTTGGTCATATTCCTCCCTCTCCTGTACCACTCTGTCCTGGCCTCTCCAGTTCCAGGGCCTCTTTCCTCATCCCCATCTGCTTGCAGGGAAATCTCCATCCCTCTCCCTACTTTCTGGACTTTGCCCTCCAGTTTACCTTGTATGCTGTACCCCAAATCATCTTTCTAAGACACAGATCATTTTTGAGCAGTATTATTTATACATCATAAAATTCACCCTACTGATATTTTAAGAAACTTAGAATCACTTAACTGTCCTACCTCTGAATCTTGAACAACTTTTGTTAGCCCCCAAAATAGAGTACTTCCTATCCTGGCCCCTGCATATTGTTTCTTCATGTACCTGTTCTCACAGAGATACCTGAGCAGGTATATGGTTCTTCTATAGGTGACCTTTAACATATGATTATAGACTGCAATGAGAAGGAAAATTACACAGAGCTTTGAGAAGATAACAGACTTTAGACCAAAGAGTTAGAATCCCAAGAGAGAACCAAGAAAACAGAGGGAGGAAGTCACAAAGAACCAAAGACAGTGTCTCAGGATTGGAGGACCCAGGTTTCCATCCTTAAGTAACCCACCAGTTCTGTCCAGGGGATGATAGTAGACTCACCCCAAACACTTCCCTGGGAATTTTCAGACTCTGATGACACAGAGAAGACCCTAAAAGCCTCCAGGGAGAGAACAGTTTCCATACAAAGAAGAATCAAAATGGTCTCAAACTTCTCAACATCAAAACAAGCTGGCAAGCAATGGAGCCTTCTCAGTTCTGAAAGAACATGATCTGATCTCCAGCCTGGGATTGGAGACTCAGTCAAACCGGAATAAACCAGGAATTAAAAAAATGTACAGCCAGGTATGGTGGCTCATGCCTGTAATTCCAGTACTTTGGGAGACTGAGGATAGAGGATTGCTTGCATCCAGGAGTTCAAGACCAGCCTAGGCAACATAGCAAGACCTTATCTCTAAAAAAAATAAAAATAAAAAAATAAAAAAATTGGCCAAGCGTGGTGGCATGGCCTGTAGTTCCTGCTACTCAGGAAACTGAGGCAGAAGGATCTCTCAAGCAGGAGTTGGAAGCTGTGGTGAGCCATGATCATGTCACTGCACTCCACACTGAGTAACAGAGTAAGACCCTGACTCAAGAAAAAAAAAAGTACAGATGTGCAAGGGTTTACATTAACCTGTCTTGAACCCTTTCTCGATGCAATGGCAGGGTGGGCTTCAAACTGAGAGAAAAAAGATAGAGAGTGGTACTTTCTGCAGATGGCCACAACAATCCTCCCATCACACCCTATGTCCTGCTGTGACCCTGCCACTCCTTACCCGTGTCAAGAGGTAGATACTAATCCTCTTGCATTGATTGTGGCCTTGAAGACTCCTAGTCAATAGGAGGTAGAAATGATGGTGTTTGGCTTCTGAGGCCAAGTCAGAAAAGGCCCTGGCTTCTGCCAGTTCTCCTGGAAGTCTGGCTCTCGGGATGCTCACTCTTAGAAGCCCAGGTCACACCAAGAGGCCACATGGATGTATCCTGCTTGACAGTGACCACTGAGCCCAGGTTCTAGTCATCTGGGTCTGGGTCCAGATGCAGGAGTTAAAGAACCTCCAGATGACTGCAACCCCCTCGTGGAGTCAGGTCTGCAGGGAGGGGCAGCTACCAGTGCCTTTGTCCCTCTGAATCTGTCTGTGGTCTTTGACGGCAGGACCCCTGAGTCTCTGTAGGAAAAGACAATCAATGGGACTCCAGAAAATCAGGTTTCTTAGTTAAAACCTCAGGCAGATGTTTTTCTCAACAAAGGGCTTTAGGTTCTATCTTCCCAGAGGTGGTTTGCCTCTTAGAAAAGACATCAATACCTATGTGGGTAACTGATATAGGAACAGAGTTGCAGGGTTGGCAGCATGGTAGTTGGGGTAGGGGGAGGGTTCCGTCTTAGGAATGCCGGGTCCCAGGCCCACCCTGGGACCTTCTGGGGACTCCGCTGCCAGTCAGCTTCCTTTTGAGACTCATGGGCTGAAGTGGTGGGGCCTGAAGTCAGAGAGATACACTTTAAATGCCCTCTGCCACTTCCAAACACTGGGAACCTGGGCTGGTTAACCTCTCTGTGCCGTAGTTTTCTTATCTGGAAGATAGGGGCTAGTGACAGGCATCTTCCACAGGATGATTGTGAGGCTTAGCTGACATTTCACTTAGATCCTAGCACATGGTAAAAGCTCAATAAATGGCAATATTGGCCCCAAATCTCTTCCTAGGCCCTTTCTTGTTTTGTAAAGGAAAGTTACTATAGGCTGAGTAAAAAGCCATCACAGAGTGGGAGAGGGCTTCATGGGTTCAGAGAAGGGTGGAGGGAGGCTGCGGAAGAGGCAGCACCCTCCTCCTCCCATGGCATGGTCTGAAAGTCGCTACATTACTTCAGCACAGACTGCTCACAGGTATATGTGAGCCTGTTCACATGTGTGTATATGCATGCAAGTGTATTGGAAGTTCTCTCCCCAGGATGTCTGTCAGGGGCCCCACTCTGGGCGGTTTCTCCTGCTATCAGAGTTCACTCAACCTCCTCTATCTCTGCCAGGCACCTGGTATCCCTGGTGGGCAAACTCCACATCATCACGAGGGACTGCAATGACCTGGTTAGGGGGGATGGGGGCTCCCCAGCCTTGTCTGGACAGCGTGGGAACCCAGCCAGGCCTGTGACCTGCCCCTGGCAGAGGACCTGTCCTGTGTTCCATTGAGTGGGAGGGTTCTGGGTCCAGGTCTTCCTAGGAGGACCCCTGAGGGAGGGGCCCTTCCATGCAGGGAGCTCAGGTCCCAGCGGGACATGATGCACTCACCACGCAGGCCTGCTGCATGGTCACAAGCCTTCCCCTTCAACCTCCCCACCCCCACGCTGTCTCCCTCATCCCACTGCACAGAATCAGGCCAAGGTCCCGCTTCCCTCCGCCCTCCTGCCTGCCTGGCACCAGATGCTGGGGGGTGAGCCGGCTGGGGCGGGAGAAAGCTCTGGATAGGACCAAGGGAGAGGGAGCTGGACGCCGGCCGAACGCGGGGAGGGCGCAGCGAGCCAGGCCGGGGTCACCCCACCCCCACCACCCTGAGTGTGGGGGAGGACGGGGGACTCACGCGCCTCGATCCCGCCACGCCCCAGAGCGACTACAGTCGGGAGCGCGAGCCTGAAGCGCCCGGCCGGACAGAGAGACAGCCGCGCCGTGCCGCGCCGCCGACCCCGCACTTCCTAGCTGCGACGACCTGTGTGGACCCTGCGTCCCCGCGTCCCCAACCATTCCCTGCGCCCCCCGCGTCCTCGTCGGGCCCCGCGTCCTCGCGTCCCCATGGAGCAGCTGCTGCGCACCGAGCTGCGCACCGCGACTCTGCGGGCCTTCGGCAGCCCCGGAGCGGGCTGCATCAGCGAGGGCCGCGCCTACGACACGGACTCTGGCCCTGTGTTCGTCAAGGTCAACCGCAGGGCTCAGGTGCGGGGCTCTGCGGGTCCCTGCGCTGGGGCCTTGAGGGGGGCGCTGGGTGGGGCCGCAGGAGGTTGAACGGGATGAAGCCGGATGGAGGGGACACGGGGTGGTGGTGGGGGAGGCCATGTCCTGGGGCTGGACCTGGTGTCACGACTCGTGGAGTCAGCTGCAGAGTGGTGGAGCTGCCACCTGCAGGGTGAGCCTGGCTCAAGCATTCTCGCTGGGGCCCAAGGTTTTTTGTCTTTGCTGCTCGATTAATTTCCTTCCCTTTACCTCCATGCACAATGCACAGACTTTTTTGGTGGTTTTAATCTTTCCACCCATCAAACATGGGAGAAGCCACGGGCGGGGTCCCGGGCTCAGCTCTGGGCAGCTTCTCTTGGGTTTAGTCCTACTGGTAGTGGGTGGAGGCAGAGATGGCTAGAACCCTGCAAGGGTCGGGGCCAGGCTGGCACTCTCTTTCCTCCAGGCTGTGCTCATGCTCGACCTGGTTTCTACCTCCTGGTAAGGTATTTCTGTTTAAGAATGTATGAAACATGGTAACGCTTACAAGTGGAGAAAGTTAGCCATGGAACCTGAGAGCAGGCAGGCTGCAGACAGGCAAGACTGGTGGGCACAGGGGACCCTGGATGCTGGGTAAGGATGTGAGGGATTTGAGGTACTGTGGAGGTCCTACCGCGAGTGCTGGAGAGAATCCCAGAGCCATCTCTCCCGATCTCCCCAACCCAGGATGGAACCTGGGTGTGGTATTGGGATTGGTATACAAGCTGTCATTGTACAGGTAAAGTTTGGGCCTCCCTTTGGTTCCCACTTTGCCTGGTTTGCGATCAGGTACCCTTATTAATGTTATGTCCTCCCCCCAGCATTTTCCGGCTACTGCCAATCCCTTTCTTATTGTAAGTGTTCAGGGTCTGCTTATGAGTGAGATCATATGGTACTCTGTTCTTTGTTTCTGAGATAAATCACTGAGTATTATAGGATTGGGATTGGAATCCTCCTGGATGCAGGGAACTGTTGGGGAATCTGGTTTCAGAACCAAAATCCCTCAAAGTGATGAGTCCCACCCACCAGGAAGCAGTTTTTGGCTCAGGCTTCACGCTGGCCCTGGAACCTTCACACCTGGTCCCTGAAAGCTCCTGCAGGTGGGACTCCATCTTTTCCCCTTGAAAGCCCACACATAGTAGGTGCATTGGTGCACAGTAGGTGCTCAATCAATGCGAGAGCAGGTGACAGCTGGATCCCCTGGGACATTAGCTGCCTGCAGCTCAGGTGTTCTTGGCTCAGTGTATTTGGGGGTTTACCTGGGAGCATGGCTGAGTTGTGCCAGATGCCCTCTTATACGAGGGACACTCACCACCCACTTCATGATTCCCTAGAAGGGGTTGCTGTGCCTGGTTTTCCCCTCAGGTACTCTGAATTAAAGGGTAGAGCACTTTTCCTGTGTGCTAATACATGTTTTGGTCTCATCCATGAGGTTTAATTTTTTAAAACGTGTGATTCTATAGGCAGTTATTTACAAACCACACTAATAAACACATGCTTTTAACCAGGTGTGGCATACATAAGGTGAGAGTTCACCTAATTTAAAATTGGGTATCTGTGGGAATGCCTTGGAAATAGCAAGACCCTGGCTCCCCTTGGAGTCTTTGAGGGGCAGGGCAAGTGTGTGGCTCCTGCCAGCCACCCAGTTCCCACTGGACATGTCTCTAGGGATGGCCCTAGACCTGAGGCCAGGCCTGACTGACCCCAACCCTCTTCTTCCCCACCTCAAGTGTGTGCCTGTGTCATTTCTATCTGTGCCTGGCCACCTGTGTCCTGGCTTCTGCACCCTAAGAGGTGGCGAGGAAGGTGGGGACCCAGAGGCAACCCCAAACCCTTGGTTAACTCACTCCCTCCATACCCTCACACCTCCCTGCACTCCCCCACATCCCCACACTTCTCTTTACCCCCTTACACTCCCATACCTCCCTGCATTCCCCACCTCCACATCTCCCAGCACCCACACACCTTCCCAGATCTCCCCATACTCCCACACCTCCCTGCACACCCCCACACTCCCGTGCACTTTCACACCTCCCCATACCCCCCACAGCCCCACATCCTTGCACCCCTCACACCTCCCTGTACCCCCAGCACTCCCTGATGCTCCCATGTGACCCATACTTCCGCCTCTCACCTCAAGGGCTTGCTGCAGGGTGATATCCTGCATATGTCAAATTCCTCAAACCTCAAGCCCAGCATCATCCTTGCAGCTCTTTCCTCTCTGGAGGGGTCCTTTGCTTCCCACACTCTGAGGGGATGCCTGCTCCCAGCTGGTTTTCAGTAATTGGAGATCCTCATGATTCCCATGTGATGGCTTCTTTCAAGGCCGTGAGTCTCACGGTCTGGCCACCAGAGTTCTCTGTGGGTGGAGTTGGCCAGCTGACAAGACTCACACATGTCCTGGCACAGGCCCGGCAGATGTTTGAGGGGGAGATGGCCAGCCTGGAGGCCCTCCGGAGCACTGGCCTGGTGCGTGCCCCTCGGCCCATGAAGGTGATTGACCTACCCGGAGGCGGGGCCGCCTTTGTGATGGAGCATTTGAAGATGCGGAGCTTGAGCAGGTGAGTGTGTGAGTGAGATATGCATGCACATGTAGACACATACAGAGAAAGCAGAGCAGGGGAGACAGAGATGAGACAGAAGAAGAGACAGAGACACACACACACATAGACATAGAGACACAGAGACAGGACTGAAAGAGAGACAGACTAACAGAGGGATACAGAGATAGGGACGAAGAAAGGGAGAGAGAGACAGAGATAGAAGGGGAGCAGCCACTACCTGAGCTGTCCACATAACTCTGCCAGGGTATCAGAAGTAGGGCTGAAAATCTCATCCTGCCATTCTTTTTTAAAAATTTTTATTTTAAAAATATGGGGTACAATTCAGAGTTAGGTATACAAATGGTCACTGTACAGGTAAAGTTTGGGCTTCACTTTGGTCCCCATTTCAACTGGTTTGAGATTAGGTACCCTTTATTGATGAAGTGTGTTCCCCACTCCCCCGCCCCCCGCTGCCATTCTTAATGGAGACAAAAAGTTGCTTTCTGGTATATGGCTCATTTTTTAGGTTAGTTTGGCTATAAAAAGCCTGCATAAGATAAGTGTATTTGACCGGGCTTGGTGGCTCAGCCTGTAATCCCGCGCCTTCGGGAGGCTGAGGTGAGTGGATTGCCTGAGCCCGCGGGTTCGAGACCCACCTGGGCAGCGAGACCTTATCTCTACAATAAATCAAAAAATCAGCCGGGCATGGTAGCGCATGCCTGTAATTCCGGCTACTTGGAAGGCTGAGGCGGAAGGATCGCCGGAGCCCAGCAGGTCAAGGCTGCGGTGGCCGGGAGCGGCCACTGCACTCCAGTCTGGATGACAGAGTGAGACTCCAACTCAAAAAAAAAAAAAAGATAAGTGTATTTGAATACATTAATGCCCCCTCAACTTGGGCAGAATGTGGCTGATCTATTAATTACCTGGAGTGTGTACTTTTTTCCTAATTATTAAAGTCATACACGGTCATTTTATGGACTGTGGAAGATAACTCATGTAAAGACATAAAACCACCCACAATTCCATCAGCAAAGAATGACCACTGTTAACATTTTGGTATATGAGTATCAACCCGGTCTTTTTCCTATATGTGATTTACATTTGTTTTCATAAATATTGGGAGCCAATTATTCACTTATCATTACTTTTTGAACATCTGGCCCTTAATTCCTGGTGCCGCCTAAGACATCTGTTGAAGCTCACCTCTTGGTGATTTTACATGATTTTGTGTTTTGGAAAGGGTCATTGCCTGGTGTACATTTTTTACTTTTTAAAGAATGGAGAGTAGTTTTTTTTTTTTTTTTTTTGAGTCGAAGTCTCACTCTGTTGCCCAGGCTAGAATGCAGTGGCATGCTCATGGCCAACACAGCCTCAACCTGCTGGGCTCAGGCGATCCTTCCACCTCAGACTTCCAAGCAGCTGGGACTACAGGTGTGAGCCACCACACCTGGCTAATTTTTTGATTTATTGTAGAGATGAGGTCTCACCAAGTTGCCCAGGCTGGTGTTGAACCCATGGGTTCAGGCAGTCCTCTCGCCTTGGCCTCCCAAAGTGCTGGGATTATAGGCATGAGCCACCATGCTCAGCCGGAAAGTAGTTTTTAAGGTACTTTAAACATCTCTGAAAATGGATCACACTGGGTAATGTTATTTCTTGTTATTTTCATTAGCTGCGTTTCTTCTTTCCTCAGTCAGGCATCAAAACTTGGAGACCAGATGGCAGATTTGCACCTTTATAATCAGAAGCTCAGGGAGAAATTGAAGAAGGAGGAGAACACAGTGGGTACGTCCAGAATGCATTTGTGTACCCCTGACCCAGTTCATTATCTTCCCTAGATTGGTGCTCAAGGTGCTTCTTGGTGGCATTTTAATAATAGGTTGAATTGTATACCATCTTCCTTTACACTGCATTATGAAAATGAGATTATTAAATAAGAATTTTGATGGAGCTGGAAAACTAGTAGAATTGGCTCATGGACCCTTTTATGCCTAGTCTTGCTGCCCAGTGTGCTTGAGGTAGGAATAACCCTCTTTATACCCAGTCATGCTGTCCAGTGTGCTTGAAGTAGGAATGTCCTGGTGGATTCATATGTTGACTAATTGCCACCACATGTAGTACATCCTCAGTCTACCCATATTCTAGCATGTGCATCCCAGGCATGTACTGATACTCTGCTAAGGGCTGGTATTTAAGAGAAAGACAAGCAGTTCTTTCAGGCCAAGGATCTCTGTCAACAGGCCAGAAGGCTGAGGGTGTTGAGCCCCAGTACGTGTCCAAGTTCGGCTTCCACACGGTGACGTGCTGCGGCTTCATCCCACAGGTGAGTGCCTGGCTGAGGATGTTCCCTGACTCCGTAATGCTGGCACCCACCCCTATATGTGACACAGCACCAGTCCCCCAGGCACCAGTAATATTGACCACCTGACTTTTGAAGGCAGAGTGCAAGCTGTGATACCTGGGATGGGGAGAGGAGATGCAGAAGTTTATTGAGTTGAGCTTGGGGGACTCAAGAAAAATGCTGGGGCAGACACAACAGCATTCCAGGCACAGGGAGCAGAAGTGCAAAGCTCATGTTGCAGGAAGCACCTGCTGAATGTGAGGAACTGAAGAGGGTAGGTAGCTGTGAAGCCATGCGTCAGGTCAGGGATTAAGTCCTGGTCACTGAGCTCCTCTCCTGGAGCCTTTGTTTTTATTTTTATGTATTATTATTATTTTTGTCTTTTAAAAAAAATTTTTAATTTTAATTTTTGTTTTTTGCGTTCGAGTCTCACTTTGTTGCCCAGGCTGGAGTGCAGTGGCACACTCATGGCCACCCCAGCAGTGACCTGTTGGGCTCCGGTGATCCTTCCGCCTCAGCCTTCCAAGTAACCGGAACTACAGGCACGTGCTACCATGCCTGGCTAATTTTTTAATTTATTGTAGAGATAAGGTCTCACCAAGTTGCCCAGGCTGGTCTGGAACCTGCGGGCTCAGGCAATCCACTTACCTCGGCCTCCCAAAGTGCCGAGATTACAGGCTGTGCCACCGAGCCTGTAATTTTTAAAAAAGTAGGATTTATCGAGAAGACAGAAAAGCTCCCACAGTGGGAGGGGACCCAGAGGGGTTGCCTATTATTATTTTTTGAGTCAGTCTCACTCTGTTGCCCAGGCTGGAGTGCAGCCACACACTCATAGCTACTGTAGCCTCATAGATCTTTCCACTTTAGCCTTCCAAATAGCTGGAACTACAGGCATACACTACCACACCTAGATAATTTTTAAAAAAAATTTTATTGTAGAGAGAAGGTCTCGCCATGTTACCCAGGCTGGTTTTGAACTTCTGGGCTCAGGCAATCCTCTTATCTCAGCCTCCCAAAGTGCTGGGATTACAGGCATGCACCACTGTGCCCAACCTCCTGGGGCCTTTGCAAGTTATTGTTATTTATTGAGATATAATTCACATAATATAAGAGCCACCATTTTAAAGTGTACACTTCATTAGTTTTTATTACATTTACAATGTTGTGCAGCCATTACCACTATCTAATTCCAGAACATTTTCATCACCCAAAAGCAGCAGTCACTACCCATTTCTCATTCCCTCCAGCCCTTGGCAACCTCTAATCTCCCTTCCGTCTTTGTGGATTTTCCTATTCTAGACCTTTTATTTTTGTATTACTGTCATCATATAATATGTAGCCTTTTGTGTCTGGCTTCTTTCACTTAGCATAATGTTTTCAAGGTTCTTCAATGTTGTTGCAGATATCAGAATTCCACTCTTTTTATGGTTGAATGGTATTCTGAAACATTTTGTTTCTCCATTCTTTTTTTTAAAATTTTGAAATTTAAAAAAAATTTTGAAATGATGTCTTGCTGTGTGTTGTCCAGGCTGGCCTTGAACTCCTGGGCTCAAGCAATCTTCCTACCTCAGCCTTTCACATTCCTTTCTTTCTTTCTTTCTTTTTTGAGTCAGAGTCTCACTCTGTCGCCCAGGCTGAAGTGCAGTGGCACACTCACGGCCACCACAGCCTAGACCTGCTGGGCTCAAGTGATCCTCACGCCTCAGTCTCCCGAGTAGCTGGAACTACAGGCATATGCCACCAAGCCCGGCTAATTTTTTGATTTATTGTAGAGACAAGGTGTCGCCATGTTGCTCGGGTGGATCTCGAACCCGTGGGCTCAGGCAATCCACTCGCCTCTGTCTCCCGAAGTGCTGGGATTACAGGCTGAGCCACCGAGCCCCGCCACCACATTCCTTCCTATAGCTGGGGCCTCTTGAATAATCATCTTTGAAACCTGTGAAGTTCCAAGGAAGACTTGTTTCTCTGGACGGCCTGACTACCCAGTGCCTAGCTCAAAGAAGTCATTATTGGGCCATATTTTGCCTTTATTAGGGACACAGTGCCTATTATTTTATTTTATTTTGCTTTTTAAAAAAATTATTTTATTTTAAAAATGTGGGATACAGTTGAGGGTTAGGTACATACATGGTCATCATACAGGTAAAATGTGGGTACCGTTATTGATGTTATGTACCCCCCCCTTCCCTGGCAGTGTTCCAGACACAGTGCCTATCTAAGAGTCAGTCCAGTTCAAAGTCATTGCTTCCTGAAGGGGGGATACTTTCACCACTATCTTCTCCTGAAGCTTTCCCTGACTAGTGGTTCCCTGTGAACAGTGATCACATTCACCCTGGTGTGGATGGAGGGCGATTCTTTCAGCTGTAGGTAATGGGGGGCAAGAATCTTATGAAGCCCAGGCAGATTTAGGGTTCCCAGCCAACAGGCAGCTCTCATGTTTGGGGTCCCTAAGATTGCAAGTAGTGGTTTACCAGGCTTGTCAAGATCCCCTAAATCTCCACTGAAGCCAGCTCCCCTGGGGTCACACACTTGCCTGGAGCTATTACCAGCACAGTTTCTGTCGTCCCAGGTGGGCACAGTTGGTGTGCCCTGTGTTCCCACTTTGGGTGTTGAGTTTAAGGGCTGCAGGTAGTGGGTGTCTACAAAGGTTTGGCTGACCTGGCAAGGTGATTTTCAAATATCAAGAGTTGAACAATGAAATCTGATCAGAACCCCAATATATGAAGCAGATGAGAAGGGGGCTGGTCTGTTAGGGGCACAGGTGACCCCTGAGTGGCCCTTCTGTGTCTCTAAAAATGTATAAAGTCAAGCTGTAATTCAACCATTTTGGGCACATGTTCTTAGGACCTCTTGGGACTCTGCCAGGGCCTAAAATGTAAAAACTCTTTACATTTTTACAGAGTTTTTTTTTTTCTTTTTCTTTTTGTCAATAGTCCTCACATGGTGTTTCTTTGATATATGCGTATGAACAAAGAGATGAATCCTTCTCTTTTCCTCTTCTTATAAAGCCACTAATCCTATTGGATTAAGGGATTAGGTATTCACCCTTATGATTTAATTTAACCCTAATTACCTCCTAAAGGCCACCTCTCCAAATATAGTCACACTGGGGGATAGGGCTTCAATATATGAATTCGGGCGGGGGGGGGGGGTGTCACAATTTATTCCATAACAGGCTATGAGATTTATCTATTTCTCTAGTAGTTCTATCAGTTTTATTTTCATGCATTTTGAAGCTCTGTTATTAGAGGTGTAAACATTTAGGATTATTATGTCTACTTTATCAATTGACTCCCTTTTCACTGTGAAATGACTTTCTTATACTCTGAAATCTACTTTGATTTTTTTTTTTTTTTTTGAGAAAGCAAGATTTATTCAGAGGACAGAAAAGTTCCTACAGTGGGAAGAGACCCAAAGGGGTTGCCCTACTTTGATATTAATATAGTCACTTTAGCCTTCTTTGACTAATGTTAGCATGGTATGTCTTTTCTATCCTTTTAAACTACTGTTTTGATACATAAAGTACCTTTTTGCACATAACTTATTGTTGCGTCTTGCTTGATTTTTCCATCCGGTCCATCTGTCATTTAATTAGAATATTCATTTGGGACTATTTGCATTTAACTTGCTTATTGATATGGTTAGGTTTGAGTCTGTCATCTTATTATTTGTTTTTTTCCACCTGTTCTTTATTCCCTTTTTCTTCTTTACCTTCCTTCTTTTGGACTGATTATTTTATGATTCTGATTTATCTCCTGTGTTGACTTACTAGCTATAATATTTGCTGTGCTCTTTTATTAGTTGCTCTAGGGTTGAGGTAGTTCTTGGCTCTGAGTTGCAGCACTGACCTCTTTTCTCTTGTTGCCCAGGTGAATGAGTGGCAGGATGACTGGCCAACCTTTTTTACCCGTCACCGGCTCCAAGCACAGCTGGACATCATTGAGAAGGACTATGCTGATCGAGAGGCACGAGAACTCTGGTCCAGGCTACAGGTGGGTACAGCAATCATATCTCTGGGACAGAGGTTCTTCTGTCATATCTCTGGGACAGAGACTGTCCTCTTATGAGGTTACCACATTAGGGGGGGTGTCCTCTGGTAGATTTGAACAAGTGTAGGGAACACTGAGCCCTGGACATATCACGGCCTGACCATCAGCTTGACAGAGAAATGGAAAGGAGGTGAGAATGGGACATACTTAGTTCTTAGGTACACCTCTTACTTGCTAGGTCATCGGAAATGAGGTGTGACAATTAAGTTCATGAACTCATCCTAGAAAAAATGCTACATGCCTCATTACTGAATATCACTATGGTCACCTTCAAAGTACTCCCCTTGGGAAGCTATGCAGTGACACTAGAGCCTAATCCACCTGTCAAAGCAATTTTGGAACTTTTTTCTGGCATGGCCATCAGAGCTGTCATCACAAGAATGGTGGAATTTGAATTGGCAACGAACAAACATTAAATTTCTTGTTAAAGTTGGCAAGAGTGGAAGTGAAATCAAGGACATGTTGGTCCAAGTTGATGGGGATAATGCTATTAAGAAAACAGCAGTGTACAAATGTATTAAATGTTTTTTTTTGAGGCGAGAGAAAGTGTCACTGATGAAGAGAGATCAGGATGGCCAGTAACAAGCAGAACTGATGAAAACATTGCAAGTATTCCTCAGATTGTGTGTCAAAATCATTGGCTGGCTATGAGAAGCATAGCAGACCAAATAAGCATCAATAGAAAAACAGGAAAATCTTAACTGAAAATCTTGGCATGAGAAAGGTGTATGCAAAAATGATCCCAAAGGAGCTCTTGCTTCACGACAATGCACCAGCTCACATAGCACTGTCTGTGATGGAGTTTTTTAGACAGTAAACAAATAACTGTATTGGAACACCCTCCCTACTCTCCTGATCTAGCCCCCAGTGACTTTTTTCTTTACCCAAAGATAAAGGAAATATTGAAAGGAAGACATTGTGATGACATTCAGGACATCAAGGGTAATATGATGACAACTCCGATGGCCATTCCACAAAAAGAGTTCCAAAGTTGCTTTGACAAGTGGACATGTGTTGGTGTCAGTGCATTGCTTCCCAAGGGGAGTACATCGAAGGTGACCATAGTGATATTCAGCAATGACATATAGTAGCATTTTTAAAGGATGAGTTTGTGAACTTAATGGTCAGACTTCATATTTAACCTTAACCTTTCCTCATGTGAAACAGGGGTTCCTGGCTTGTAAATTTACGATTACTTTTCTCATTATTATCTTTATATTATTTCTTTTTATTTTAAAGATGTGGGGTACAATTCAGGGTTAGGTATACAAATGGTCATTGTGTAGGTAAAGTTTGGGCCCCACTTTGGTCCCCACTTTACCTGGTTTGAGATCAGGTACTCTTATTGATGAGGTGTGTCCTCCCTCCCTCCCCTGGCAGTTTCCCACTGCTGCCAATTCCTTTCTTATAGTATTATGGTAATTGTTCAGGGTCCGCTTATGGGTGAGAACATGTAGTACTCAGTTCTTTGTTTCTGTGATAGATTATAGACTTATATTATAGACTCTAAGTTACTTTTCTCATGATTAGTAACAATTGTCCACTCTTACACTTGTTCTTCCTCCTCTGCTAAAGCACAAATATCTCACCCCTTAGTGAGAATGTGGGTACCAGAGTTACTGGTTTCAAAACTTAACCCAAAGAGTTAAAAACAGAATTTGTTTATCAATCCAGAGTGAGAATGTGTCAAATAAACTTTATTTAGCTTATTAATTAAGTAACCAACAGGATTCAAAAGAAGTATAGATATATATGATGGACTCCCCCAAAAACCTAGAATTTATTTATAAAAAATGGTGTATTTATTATTATATGTTAAAACTTCAGTCACCTTCAAAGTACTCTCTGTTTGATGCAATACACCTATCAAGATGCTTTTTCCACTGCTCAAAACAGCTTTTGAACTCGTCAACTTTGACGCCTTTTAGAGTGCCTCTGATGTTTTTTGTTTCACCTCTTCCACAGTGGCAAAATATTTCCCTTTGAGAATTTTTCACACAGGGAAACAAAAAAAGTCACTTAGGGTGAGGTTGGGTGAATAGGGAGGGTGGGGCACAAGGGTCATACTGTTTTTTGGTCAAAAACTGCTGAACACTTAGCATAGTGTGGGTAGGTGCGTTGTTGTGGTAGAACTAGTCATCTGTTTGGGACAACTTGGGATGTTTCTTCTGCAAATTGTGATTCAACCTTCTAAAAACTTCCAGATAAAAACTTTGGTTGACTGTTTGATCCAGTGTTCTACAGGGGGCCCGTCTTCCAAAAGATAATTCTATTTTTGGGGGGGAGTTCCCCCTCGTAGGTGCAGTGAAATAAGAGAACAGTGGTGAGAGAGTTTGCTAAGATAGGTACAGCACTGGTTCCTATTCTACAGGACAAGAAAACTACAACCTCTGAGATGCTTCAGTGTATGGAAATCATTAGCACTGTAAAAGCGTCTGGACCTAAATCAGTAGCAAATAGTAAGTTAGACAAAGATGAATTCCCCTGGAGTCAGATGACCTTTATCTCTGGGCTCCACAGACAGTGCTGTGGCTGGACCCTGAATGAACAGCCGGGGTTGTCTTGGCCTCATTTCCAAGTGTTGGATGAGGTTAGGTCCCCTTGAGTCCCGTGATAATCACCTCCATTAATTGTTTTCCTAGGTGAAGATCCCGGATCTGTTTGGTGGCCTAGAGATTGTCCCTGCACTGCTCCATGGGGATCTTTGGTCGGGAAACGTGGCTGAGGATGACGCCGGGCCCATTATTTATGACCCGGCTTCCTTCTATGGCCATTCTGAGTTTGAACTGGCAATTGCCTTGATGTTTGGGGGGTTTCCCAGATCCTTTTTCACTGCCTACTACCGGAAGATCCCCAAGGCTCCCGGTTTCGACCAGCGGCTGCAGGTCTACCAGCTGTTTAACTACCTGAACCACTGGAACCACTTCGGGCGGGAGTACAGGAGCCCGACCCTGGGCACCATGAAGAGGCTTCTCAAATAGCGCCAGGGCACCACTGCCTGCCGGCCCGCCTGCTGAGCTAACAGCTTGGGGCAGCAATACTGGGCGGCTTCAGAGACCAATAAAGCCAACAGATGGTCTCTGGGATCATGCCCTGTGTGTCTTAGTTTCACCTGCGTCTCTGCACGCCATGCAGTCGGACTAATTTCCAGGAGACCCAGACCCCTTGAAAGGCGTCCAACAGCTTCATTAATCTGGGGGGGGGGGAGTTTGGATTTTTTTCTGATAGTTTTATAGAAATTAACACAGATCTGGGGCTGCTTAGGCTGGAGGTGGCGCCACGCTTCCCGCGGCCTAGGGGCTCCAGCTCCTGGCTCCCGCAGAGCTGAGAACCCGAGATGGGCCTCACCCGGAGGAGCCCTTCTGGGGCTGAGCGGGCTCGGAGTCCACCCCGAACGAGGTGGGGCAAATGGAAGGAAGGGCCCCGTCGTTGTGGGGACGGGCCATTGGGATTGCAGTCCCTGCCTGGCCTTCTCCAATACACCACTCTTCAGCTGGGGTGTGGTCCACGGGATAAAACGGAGGGCAAGGGAGGCGGGCAGCTTTGGGCAGTGGGGTGTCCCAGACGACCGGGATGTCTGGAATGTCTGTGTGGTTAGGTTGTCCGGATGGCCAGCGTGGATGGGACGTCAGCGCCGTCATCGTTGAAGAGCAGGTCCGGAGACCTGACCCGGTCCGCACAGCACTCACGTGTTTAGACCCCGCCTCTGCCTTCCCGGCACCTACGTGCTCAGGCCCTGCCCCCGGGCTCAGACCCCGCCTTCGCCCCGCCCGCGTCGCACCCACGTGCCCAAGCTCCCCCCCCCC